TGATTCAAAGCGATCAGTGAAAAATAAAGCTAGAGTTGAAGGATCAATATGTGCACATTACTTGCATCGAGAAACTTCACATTTTTGCAGTCACTATTTCAAGCACTTGATGTTAACTCCAAGAATCATAAGGAATCCTGTAAATGTTATTGAAAGAAGTAAATACACCTTATCAGTCTTAGGGCTTCCAGGTCGTCCCTCTGGAAAGAAGGGTGAGCATTGGTTGACCCAACAAGAAATGCAATATGCACATGTTCATGTCTTGATCAACTGCATTGAAGTTAAACCATATCTTGAGTAAGTATAATCCAACTTCTTAATTTTCTTTACAGTGTGAATATAAAATTGATTACCTTGAAACTTATAGTGTGTTTCTTTTTAGGGAATTTAACAACGCCTATTTTGATAGTACCAGTGTACAATCAACATCTGGTGTCATTCATGCCCAATTTCCAACATGGTTCAAGGAGAAATTGTATAGGGTTGTTGCACCGACTCCAGAAATACTCCATTTGAGAAACTTCTCTAATGGCCCTCGTCAAAGTGCAAACAAATGGCACACATACTTCATGAACGGATATAAATTTCACACTCATGAATGGACTGAAGGGAAAAAAAACCATAAACAATGGCGTATTTAGGAAAGGAGTTACAGATGGTGGTGAAGATGACTTCTATGGTTTTGTTAAACATATCTACGAGTTAGTATACAATTACTTGGACTCGGAAAGTAAAGTTGTCTTGTTTTATTGTGAATGGTATGATCGAACTAGAGGCACAAAAATAGATAAGACATATGGTACTGTTGAGATTCAAATGGACCGGAGGTACAAAGAGTACGACCCTTTCATAATGTCAAATATTGTTAGGCAAGTTTATTATGTTCCTTATCCTTCATTTGTGCCACGTAAACGACGGTGTTGTGTTGTAATAAAAACAAAACCATTGGGTCATATTGAAACTGACGATCTAGTGGAGGATGTTGCTTACCAAGTTAATAAAGTTGAAGTTAATGATGTGATTCCAGATGAACACACTACAAGTTTGTCTGATACAATGGTTGAGGGGAATCAATTTGATGAGGATGAAGATCATGAAGATTCTGGATCTGAGGATAGTATCACATCAGATGACGATGATGAAATGGATGACGAGCATGACGATTTAGAATAGTGAACCTATATTCATGAGAATTGTGTCTTGTAATTTTACTTAACGAACCATTTATTGAATGATTTAATGAATATGTATTCATGAGAATTGTGTCTTGTAATTTTACTCAACGAACCATTTATTGAATGATTTAATGAATATGTCTTCATGAGAATATGTATACGTTAACTTGTATTTTCTTTAATTAGGTAAAAATGCCACCCAAAGATAATAAGGGTAAAGGTCCTAGTGATAGTGGTAGGAAGCCCAGGCGTCCAAGGGTAGTAGTATGCCAGTCACCTCACTCAGCCACGTGTCCTCCCCCGCAGAGTCAGGTTCATCATATATCCATGGACAGTACTATTCCATTTACTCCATTACTATCATCTCAGAGTCCTCTTCAGTTCCCATCTGGGAGTACATGTTTTATTAGTCCATCTAGGGCCCCACATGGTTTACCATTCCAGCAGACATAGGTGCCCTCATCCTTCCAGCAGACACAAGTGCCCTCATCCTTCCAGCAGACACAGGTGCCCTCATCCTTCCAGCACAGTTTTCCATTTCCCACACAGATGCCCTCATTCATGCAGCAACCTAGAGGATCCAGCACCCCACTTCCTACACAGATGCCCCATCCGTCCAACAGCCTGGAGGATCCACCTCTTCACGACCCACACAGACTGGTCGCACCCCCACATCCCACACAGATTCAGATGATGACGATCTTGGTGTGGATGATGATCAGATAGATGGGAGAGATCTTCGAGGGGATGATGATCCGAGTGAGATTCATACCATTGATGGGAGATTTTGGATATGGCCTGAAGGGAACTCGTAAGTTTCTTATTTATTGATTTTTATTTATAAGTACACATTTCCATTTTTAATATAACTTTATATAATTAATTATGCTAATTCAATTATTGTTGTTTTAGTTTCGGGTCGAGTCGGACTGCTGCTAAGGTTATCAATTATATAATTCAGCAGAATTATACAAAATTTTTGAAGAGTTTTAGAGAAGTTTCCGATAAAGAAGAATGGTTCAAGCAATTTCAGGTATAATTAATTTATTTCTTAAGTTATTTTTATTTAAATGACCTTTTCATTATTGTTATAATTTATCTAACTATTTATTTTAATGTCATACAACATTGCAGGCGAAATGTGTTTGGGATCCCCTGAACCATAACAAAGTAAAAAAAAAATATTTTGGCAGGAGTTCAAGACGACTTTCTGACATGCTACGACGTGTTAGAGAGAATTGGCACCTTTTGGGCATTCGTCCCAAATGGATAGGCAAAGAAGTTTTTGAAAAACTTCTTAAGTATTGGGAATCATATGAATTTAAGGCTAAATCTGAAACTGCAAAGAAGATAAGGGCATCGGAAAAAGGGGGTTGCCTTAATGCTGTTGGAAGTATTAGTACTGTTGAGCATGCTCGGCGCATGGTAATTATTATCACTTTTTAAGGTCATATTTGGATTTATAACATATTATTAATTTAAGTTAATTTTTTTATTTAGGCTAAGCGTTTGGGGAGACAACCATTGATGACTGAGCTGGTTAAGGAAACTCGGACAAAGAAATCGGGAGGATTTATTGACGAGCGCACAAAAAAATCTCTGGTAAGTAAATTTATGTTTATATATTTTTTAAAGCAATTTTGTGACGTGATTTTCATGTAGCAAGTGACATGTTGTGGCGTGAAAATTGAGTGACAACTGATAAGTTGTGGCGTTACAATCACGTGACTATTTGTTTTTTATTATTTTTTTTATTTCATTTAATTTCATTAATGTTACTTATAAATTTAACTTGATTTTTTTATTGTATGTGTAGGAGGATTATCAGGCATTGCTTGTAGAATTTATGACCCATAATCCTCAGTATACGCCTCCTCCAGAAAAACCGGTTCATCCAGATGTGAATTTCTATATTTGGAGTCAAGTTGTTGAGGGAAAGGGGCCTAACGGGTGTTTTTTTGGTGGTAGAAATTTGGCAGGCATCTTGAGGAGTGGGGATAGAAATCTGTATCAGAGAGCTGCAGACGGTGAAGGAGGGTCACGTCAAACAAATTTGACACCAGATCAGTTAGAACTGGTAAGACATTTGGCTAGACGTGAGTCCGAAGATCGTGAGGCGGCATTGAAGGCTCAAATGGATGCCCAAATGGAGGCAATGATGGGTGAGCATAATAGACAAATTGAGGCAATGGCGAAGAGGCAGACTGATATGGAGGAGCAAATGCGACAATTTATGCAAGCATTTGGTAGAAATCCCAACAGTGGTGGCCAAAATAATAACTACCAAAATAATGATGACTTTCTTCCCGACTTTTCCGACGACTCTAATGATTCTGCTTAGTTTTATTTTTATTTTGTATTTAGTTTTTTATTTGTGTAATATAAATTTATAATCATATTGTATATTTAAAAATATTATAAATTTAAATTTGAGTTTATTAAATTTATAATATTAAGTATATTTATTTATACATTTAGATATATTTAGTTTTGTTTTTGATAATTTGATTTATAATATTGTATTTAATAAATAAATTATAATATTTAATTTATAAATTTAATAAAACAAAAAATAATATTAATTATTAAAACAGAATTAATATATTTAAAACACAAAAAATATATATATTTTTTAAAAACAAGTTGCGGCGTGATTTTCATGTCACTAATTAGTGACGTGAAAAACACGCCGCAACAGCAAACGTAAATATAAATGTGAACTGCCTGCTCTGCTCTGCACACTTTCATTCTATACAGTCTGTTGCGGCGTGAATTTCACGTGGCAACTTTGTGACATGCTTTTCACGCCGCAACAAGATTGTCACGCGCTATATAGCGACGTGTTTCTTAAAGTGACAAAATTTGAATAGTAGCGTGATTTGGGTGTTAGCGACGTGGCTTTCACGTGGCAAAACACAAATTATTTTATAGTGGTAACTATTGAATACATCTCAACAATTCTAATAGAAAGAAGTCCAGCTTTTATGTGGTGCTTACAGATGAAAGTCCACCTGTTCGTTAGTGCCTGACTCGCCTGTATCTAAATTGAGACCGTAGATTAAACTGATCTTTATGAGTCATTGGCCAACCTAAAACAAATACAATTAAGAGAAAAATTAAGCATTGGCCAACCTAAAACAAATACAATTAAGAGAAAAATTAAGCATGATTCAAGATAAGCATTGTTGAAGATCTAACAATTACTATGTATACAATATCTTTGTCTTTATATTTGTTTGGTTATTATTTTTGTTGTTTATTTATCTGCTATGGTGAGTTTGTAGTACATATCTTATATTTTTTATAGCTACACTTTGTAGTTGTATTTATTTTCACATCTTATTTGCCATTAAAAAAATGTGTCCATGGATGCGTAAATCAAATAAAATAACTACTACTATATTTTAATTGAGAACCTTTATATTAAAATAATTATTTCTTGGTCAATGGCGTTACTTGCTTTACAGTCAAGCATGGCGTGAATTATGTCCAAGCCATCCTTCTTCTTTCATGCAAACCCGCCTAATCACGAAAAGTTGACCAACCCACTTTACATCAAAATCACGCAATTAAAACGAGTTTCAACACACTATTTAGGCTCAAATCCACCATCTCAATGTTCCCTTTTCACGCCAATGTTCAATTAACTAATAATTAACCAACCAAGTTACTCAATATCACGCACATGATAAGGCAGAAAAACCAATAGAGTTTCATCTAAGAAACTTCACAAAACTTATTAACTACAAAAACGTCTCTGCACACCTTAATTCACATTCTTTTCTTTCATTCTTCCATTTCCAAACCTCAACAACAACAAAAAATATGATGGTGTTGAAGTCCCCAAAACCAAACCGAAAACGTTTCATGCTTTCATGTTTCATATCAATCTTCTTCCTATGCATACTAGCTTCCATCAACGAATTTCGCTTCAAGAATCTTCCAACATTCGGTCGATGTAGCACTCTCTCAAACAAAACAACAAACACTTCCTCTCCATTTTCATTTTCGAACCAACAACAACAACAAGACATTAGGATCCTCATCGGAGTCCTCACACTTCCCGACCAGTACCTCCGACGACACTTCCTCCGTCTGGTATACAGTACACAAAATCCCGAAAATGCGAAAATCGACGTCAAATTCGTCTTCTGCAACCTCACAAAAGAAGATCAAAAAACAATAATCGCATTAGAAATCATGCGTTACAACGACATCATAATTCTCAACTGTACAGAAAACATGAACAAAGGAAAAACCTCATCATTCTTCACAAGTTTACCAGAAATCTTCAATGAAACAGTAAATGGACCAAACTACCCTCCTTACCATTATGTCATGAAAGCAGACGATGACACCTACGTTAGACTCAACAGTTTGGTGAAATCGTTGAAACCGTTACCGAGCAAGGATTTATACTATGGATTCGTGATACCGTGTGGAAGCATGGACCCTTTCAAACACTACATGTCTGGGATGGGGTTTTTAGTTTCATGGGATATTGTTGAGTGGATACACGGTTCTGATATTCCCAAGAAACACGTGGAGGGTCCAGAAGATAAGGTGTTTGGTGATTGGATGAGATGGGGTCGTAGAGGATTGAATAGGTATAATGCGAAATGGTCTATGTATAATTATCCTGATCCACCTTCTGTTTGTAGTCATGAGCTTGTGAAGGATACTATTGCTGTTCATTTGTTGAAGAATCAACAGAAGTGGATAACAACACTGAGGTTTTTCAATCATACTGCTCCTTTGATGGAATCTAACATGTATCATATCTGATGTTTCTACATAACTATCAAGTTATAGTTGATTTAACAGAACCAACATGTGCCTTATGGATTAGCTTTATTATTAGCCTTTTTGGTGAATCTAATCTTTATTTTTCATAAAATTTATTTGATTTCTACGTATTTATGTAGAGAAACATGAAATTAGTTCAAATAAAAGAAAACAGATTTTGTGACACATTCCGGAGATGTTTGTGTTTACTGTTTCAAAATTCGACTTTGTTTTTGTTATGCTACGACGCTCTGCTATTTTCGTAAAAACGTTTCAGTGTTTTAACACCTGTGTTGCCTCCAATCGGTATTCCATGAAATTCTTTGGCCTTGAATTCTTGATACTCTGTGTTGAAGTTGAGGTTCTACTTAAGTTCATCTATGAAAATGAAGTGAGTCATAGACATCCGAGGTTATCTAAACTTTCTACTTAAAAATCTTTTTCACTAGCGTTGTTTTAGTGACATGATACTCAAAAGTTGTATTTGGGAGTATTTGTGATGGTATTATATTGAAAGGTTTTATTCAATAGTGTAATTCTCTTATAATTTCTTTGTAATAAGGTTTGAAGAAATGAATATTTTGTGATATGCTACTCTTATGAAATGAGAAGTTTTTTCTTAGGGTAACATTAAAGGTACCTATTAGATCTATAACTATAGGTAAGAATCCTAATCCCGTTGAGTTGTTCTGACTATTAAATTTTAATAGCATAATTTATTTAGTAGTAAATAAGTTGTGTGAAAAGGTAATAAATTATTGTATAATTCTTTTATATGTATGATATTTAAAACTTTAAAATAAAATTTATCTTTTTCTATTAAATTTTTTTCGAAAAAACTATGACTACAGAAAAATTCATACACATTACCTTTATTGAATTAACCCTATAATTATTGTGAAGATAGAATTCTTTGTTTATGTATATATTATAAGAAAAAGTTTCCGAGAAGATAAAGATAAGGAAAAGATTAAAAAACGGAAAATATGGTATCATACAAAGAATCGTGAGAAGCATCATTTGAAGAATATGTAGCATCATATGAAGAATATATAGTATCATATATGTTTTGAATTGGACTTGTATTTGGCCCAACTTCATACGAGACTCAATCCAACTATGCTGTTCGAGGAGGCCTGCTGACCAAGTCTGCTCTCAACTATATCGGGCAGCAACCTCATCCTTCGGGAAAACGCGACTTCGTTATACGGGAATAAATCCAAGAATCGCGAGCAGGCTTGCCGTCGGTCAGGAGGACCTCGCGAGCATCCTCCACTCTTCTCGTCGATCAAGTCAAGCCCTCTCGGACGACCTCACGGATGGCGGGGAAGGCCCATGAAGGACAAAAGGACATCACGAACATCCTCCTCGTAAGATTGACTCATAACACCCCCGAATATCACGAAGTCATCTTGGTCTCGAAAAGACTGCATCCATATCCTCCTGACTATTCGGGGGAACCCCTTCAGGTTAGGGACCACGTGCTGGCCCCACTACGCACGTAGAACCTGTCAGCCTCCATTTTGGGCCTACTGGCCCAGCCTAACGATAGGGATCTTAACCCAACGCTGGGGCTATAAATACCCTCTCACTTGGGAGGGTCAGGTATTCATTCTTTCATACTCACTCTCATACTTGCTCGCACTGCTCTGAACTTTACTTTGGCATTAGAGTGTCTTGCAGGTACCCCCCAACTCGTTTCCAGTTGCTGCTCAACTCACAGCTTGTAGGCTTTGACGACCCATCCTGGTCAGGTACGACCAGTGGCGCCGTCTGTGGGAAACAAGATTCCCCGTCTTTCATTTACCTAAGGCTAAAGCAACCATCAAATTTTTCATTGTCATGGCCGACCCACCTGCCAACAACAACCTAGACGTCCATCTCACCGACCCCAACAATAACATTGTCAACAACACGGGTAACAACAACAAGAACGACGTCGACATGGCCGGTCTCGTGCAGAATTACAGAGACGGCATGACCGCCTCTTCATCATCCCACTCTCAGCCACACGAGGGTGCTCATCCGCCCCAGAACTATGAGCCGAACGTTTTCCAGGAGGTCCCCGTCCCTGCGGGCACTGACGCCACGACCATGGCTCTATTTGCAGCCATTACACAGACGAATTACTTAATCTTCTCGCAAGGTGAGCGACTAAGGGTGCTCGAGGACTCTCGTCGAGCCCCTAGAAGACACAGTAGACCCGACACTCCACCTCCTCGTCAGAACGAAGACCGTCCTCAATCTCCCTTATAGAGACACAGATGGGACAAGTCACTAAGCCTTTCTCCTCAACGGACTGGGCGGTGCCCCATGGTGGAAAGAACAATGCCTGAGGCAACCGGGAGATGCGACCTCACCCTCCGCACAGGGAATAACGATCCCCTGAAAACAGAATCAGGGACAACATAGAAGCGCATCCTCGACCAAGGGATCCTCCCCAAGGCCAAGGCCATCACTACGACCGCCACTATAATCGGTCTCCTTCCCACTCCCCATACAGGAGCGACGAAGACGACCCCCGCGGTTCCTTATCACAAGCAATCATGGAGGCGCCCATTCCTAGGGGAATGGAGAATCCTCCCAACTAAAGGAATATAACGGCATTGTGGATCCAGTCGACCATATCGACGGGTTCCAGGCAATGCTCCACTATCATAATATCGAGGGACCGATCAAATACCGATTGTTCCCCACAACCTTGAGAAAAAATGCAATGGACTGGTATAAGAATATCCCCCCAAGGTCAATCGCCTCTTGGAGAAACCTAAAGGGCCAACTCATCATCTCCTTTATAGCATCTCGTTGACACTCGAAGACTAAGGCCGCCCTTGAGGCTATCGTCCAAAGAAGTGACGAAACCCTTAAGGAGTACATCGATCGGTTCAACCGTGAGGCCATTCAGGTCCAATGCACCGATCATATGAAGAGATATTTTCTCGAGAGAGAGGACTCCTCCCGGGCACAGAGTTCAGGAACACCGTCGGCATCGAACCACCCCGGACTTTCAATGCTCTCCTTGAAAAATCTAGGGGCTATATGGACTACGAGGAGAGGGAAGCAGCCAACAAAGCGTGCGACCCAAGAAATCACGAATCAACCAACACCCTGCGACACCAGGACGCAGGCCCTCCTCGAAGAACATGTGAGAAGAGAAGGGATGATAAACCATGTGATCCCTGTGAACACAGGGGACCCGCAGGGTGATTCACCGAATACACTCTACTGACTGCTTCCCATGAGCGCATCTTAGCGGAGTACGCTAATACCAACTTCAAGGACAGTGACATCAAATGTCCTCGATCTTCTTCTTTGAAGCTCGGAGCTGACAAGAGCAAACACTGTTAGTACCATCAAAGTCACGGGCACCTGACTGAAGACTGTGTCCACCTTAAAGACGCCATTGAAACCCTCATCAAGGGTGGCATACTTGGGAAATACCGATGCAATGACACCCTTCATCGATATACCCGCGAGACAAAAGAGGTTGAGGAGGACACCCGACCATCATATGAGGCGGCCCCCATCCATATAGCTTTCTCCATAACAAGGCCAGATGACTTCTATGTCCCCGACAGATATGAGGAAGAACCTCTGTCCATGCACAACAGGTTGGAGAAATTCCCTTCCACCAAGGTTATAATTGGCGGGGGGTTCAATGACATCTCCATAAACTCCGCAAAAATAAATCTCGACGAGTTGGTCGGTGCAGCCCTGACTCAAGCGGTGACATTCAAGAAGGTTAAGGGAAGATCAGAACCAATCAGTTTCTACCTCGAGGAGTTTCCTGGAGGAGCCCCTAACTTGAGCATCCCTTTACTTGTGAGGGCAACAACGGCTAATTTCTATGTTCACCGTGTCTTAATCGATGTGGGGAGTTCCGTCGATGTTATGTACAACCATTTATTCCTAACCTTACAGCTCGACGACACCTGCCTTTCACCATACGTGGGATCCGACCTGCAAGGCTTCAATGGCTCAACCTCCAAACCATGGGGGTACGTTGAGCTTTTTGTCACCTTCGGGGAAGAAACGGCATCCCGGCAGATCAATGTGTAATTTCTGGTTATCGATTGCCCGTCTTTCTGCAACTGCATCCTAGAGAGACCAACGCTGACCGAATTAACCATCGTACCCTCTATTGTCCATCTAAAGATGAAATTCTACACAAGGAGGAGACGCATCGCCACCATCCACGGGGATATCTCAGCTTCCCGAAGATGTCTCAACGCGACTTCTAAGGGACAGAGTATAGTCGACACCGGGGCACGACTTGCAAGAGAGCTGCTACTGCTCGACCTGAACCACAACCTGTTAAGACAAAAGAATAAAGGGCTCCACCCAAGGTCGACTCCATCTCGCTCGACACACGCTTCGACAAGGATGAAGCCCCCAACATTGAATAAGAACTCCTCCGACTAATCTCAGACGTAGGTTTAGAGTTTGTCCCCCTCGGTGAAGACCCTCACAAAGGCGTGAAGATCGGCACCGGACTCCCTGACTTGGAGAGGAAGCAGATCAAAGCTTGCTTGAGGGAGAATGCAGACCTGTTCGCATGGAGCACCGCAGAAATGCTTGGACTTGACCTCGAGGTCGCCTGTCACCAATTGGCCATTGATCCAGCCGTTAGGGTAGTAGTACAACATAGATGTAGGTAGTCCCTCGAGAAAGCGGAGGCTGCTGAAAATACTGTAAAAGACCTCCTAGAGGCTAATTTTATTTCTGAGGCCCGGTATTCAACCTGGCTCTCAAATGTTGTACTTTTTAATAAAAATAATGGAAAATCGAGAATGTGTGTTGACTATACTGATCTTAATCGGGTATGTCCTAAAGACGCTTCTCATTTACTTAATATTGACATGCTGGTCAACAATTCGACCGACTATAAAATTTTATCATTTATGAACGCCTACTCGGGATATAACCAAATCCTAATGGTGATGAGCGACAAGCATTACACTGCTTTCATGAACAACTCGGGAAATTACTACTACAATGTA